TGGAGTATTATTTGTAGCCCACTGATGATGCCATGCTCAGCATCTTCACAGGAAAACCAAAACTCTCCTCCTGGAATGCCCAGAAGAGGACTTTTATTTTCAATCCTCTTTGCCTACCAGCTGTAAACATTAAATGTTTTATGTAATCACAATTTTTTTAAAGACAAAAAAACCTTGTTTATCACTGGGGAGGGAGGGGGGTCTCATCCAAAAACTACAGTCTAAAAAGTTTGGGAGGTGCTGATAACGGTAGTCTAGAAAACACGTGAGAAACGTTACCTTTGTCTGGCCAGTGATGTCGCAGCAGCTGACTGTCTTACCATGCAAGAGCCTAAGGTTCAGGGTCAGACCAATGGTTCTGACGTCCTGGGCTGGACACATAGTTGAAGAGAGACACCAAAGAAGAGACGGCCAGCCCAACCCCTCACACAGCATCCCTTCCTGGTTAATCCATGGTGTGATAATGACACTGCCTGGCCTCATCCTGCCAATGAATGGCAAGGCACTGCAATGATGGCGCCTGGAAATGAATAGGAGTGATTGGGAATAAAAGGAGGAGGGGGGAGAAGGTGGCCATGATGAAGAAATGAATAAAACGCCAAATTCCAGTTACACCTCACTGAATACCAATTATTCTGATATCATAATGACAGGGCAAATAAAAAAGAAAACAAAGAAAAAGAAACCAATAAATAAATAAAACCAATAACAAAGCAAAAGAAAAATTGAGTTTGTATCCTATAAATGACTGTATATAACTATAGCAAGGATTGATTTAGTTTAGCTCAAAATCTAATCTACAACAGGGGGTATTTTTTCAATCAGTGTTTCTAAACTATGATTTAGTTTTACTTTTCACTAGAGACTTAGTCTATGCTATTAGAACGCCCAGACTTACCAAACAATTCCTTGGGCTCCAGAGCCAATCGGTTTCAATTGCTGGTAACGTTTTAGGACAGTGAAAGTTGAGTCCGCCACTTGCACACTGTAAAACTGACCATCACTTTTACTGTCACTCATGATGTAGTGTCATACAGTATTCTGAAGAGATGCTACCTTCGTCAGATCCCTAAGGAGAGAAACAGAATGAACTGATGAGCTTACCAAATTGTACACTAGGATCTCAGTTCATAGTGGGTCCGATCTGCTGGAATGTAAAGGTATGGCTATGAGATGGGAAAATCAGCTTGGCCAAGATCTCAATTTAAGCAAGGGCACATCCAAAAAAAAACAAAAACAAAAACAAACAAACAAACAAACAAACAAACAAAAAACCCAGACATTTCAGTGGTGTAAGACCTTCAAAAGAAGAAATTAAAACAAAATTTTTCTAACATTTATTTTATGCATTTGGGTGTTTTGTCTGCACGCATGTATGTGCATGCCTGGAAAGCTGTGAGCCACATGTGGGTGATGGGAATGGAACCTGGGTCCTTTGGGAGAACAGTCAGTGCTCTTAACTGTTGAGTCACTGAAAAGGATTGTTGAGCCCTGAAAAGGAATTTTGAGATGCAGGAAGGCCACATTTTTAAAGGACTGTATTATAATAAATTGTTGGAGCTGGGGATACAGCTCAGTAGTGAGTGCTAGCATGCATAAAGCTGAGTTCACAGGAAAAACAGGTATGAAGGGGTGGAGAAAGATCCACTTCAGCAGAAAACATTTACACATTATTCCCAGCCATGGTAAGCCCACTATGTCACTGATGTGTCTCATCCATTTCCTTCTTGGGGAACCAGCTTATGTGTAGAAATCTCAGCTAGAGATGGAGCATTATTTCAGAATGATTGATTCTAGAGGTCCTGGAGACAGCAAGAACTGGGCATCTAGGTGTATGGATCCAGGCTAATATGATGAACCACAAAGTGAGACTCCTGTGCCAGTATAACAGGCTGTCTTGAGGATTAGAGACACTGGTATGAAGTGTGTGTCCCACAGATGAACCTGTTTCACGAAGGTGGAGCCAGAGTTGGCCTTCATTCCCTGTACCCCAAGCTCAGCTACAGTTCACAGTAAAATAATTATCTCCACTCTACTTATATTCACAAATATGGCTATAAACCAGTGGCTTCAGAAAGTAGTTTTCTTCTGGTTTGGACAGCAGGCTGATTCCCCCAATGGGCTTGGTCCTCAGAAGTGGGTGCTGTTTGGGAAGATGAAGAACCTTTAGGAGGTGTGACTTGGCTGGACAAAGTGGGTTGCTGGAGGACAACTTGAGGGTAACAGTTTCACTGCTTCCAGCACCAACGGCTCCCTGGTCTGTGGAGACTGAGGAACCCCAGCAGCAGGCTCATACCACTGTGTACTCCATCAGGGTGGGCTGTACCCTTGTAAGGCATGAGCCAAAATAAATCCTTTCTTCCCTAAGCTGCTGTGTCATGCATTCCATCACAGTGACTAAAAAAGGGAGAAATGTGACTGATATGCTCACCCTGTGAAAGGTAGGAAGAAGTTAACTGAAAAATTAATGAGTTATTATTTTGGTCTTTAAGATGCCAGCAACAATGGGAGGGAGAGGGAACTGGGATTGATATGTAAAATAAGATTGTTTTTAATTTAAATTAAAAAAGAAAAAAGATGCCAGCAGCAAAGCCATAGAGGCAAACATTCCATAAACAATCTTTTTCTACATTACCTTTCTCTCTCTCTCTCTCTCTCTCTCTCTCTCCTTCACTACCCTC